TTCTTCTTCGTCGTCTAGCCATTCACGTCCACATCTGAACATAAGCCTCTTCAAGTCTTCCTTTCCATTGTTTTTATTGTACGCTACTTGTAGCCAATTTTTCCCGGCAGTCCTTTTCAGATCATCTGTCCATCTCATAGGAGGTCTGCCTCTGGGTCTTTTGTGTTGGTATGGTCTCCAGGTTAAAATTGATCTGTGCCATTTGTTTAGATCGCTCCTAGCTACATGTCCAGCGTATTCCCATTTCAGCTTTAATGCTTTTTGCACCACATCGGTGACTTTGGTTTTCTGTCTTATCCATGTGTTTGTTTTCTTGTCCTTAAGTGATATACCTAGCATTGCTCTTTCCATCGCGTGTTGAGTGACTCTAAGTATATTCATATTCTTTTTTGTGATTGTCCATGTTTGTGCCGCATAAGTTAATATCGGAATAATGCATGCATCAAAAACTTTAGATCTAAGATGTAATTGAATTTGTTGATTTCTGAGTATATAGTTCAGTTTACCGAATGCTGCCCAAGCTAACTTTCTTCTTCTTTTTATTTCTTCAGTCTGAATTTCCCTATTTAGGATTATTTTTTGTCCCAAGTATATATATTCTTCAACTTACTTAGTTATATCTACATAAAGAAAGTATTAACATAAACTGAGAAATACATTATTTAGTAAAAGTTCATAGAGTCTCTACTAAGGTAATAAAAACTATTGGTTTGTAAAAACAGTCCGTGGCTATCACAATTAATACTCAATTCAGATTTAAGAAACGCTTATTAAAGTGATAATATAAAACCGTCAATAAGTGTTAAATACAAAATAGAAACCAACATTTTCAAGATCTACAATTTGCCAACAAAAATTAAGACCCTCCTTTTTCGGCGTTATGTTTTTTTATTTCTTTTATACAGGATATAATCTTGGATCATTAATCCGTCTTACGAAGACAGATGATAGCAGAGAAAGATAGCAGAGAAACAAATGAACTTGTATGAGTATCTATGAGGATATAACCCAACAGAATTACAAGAAAAATCCACGAAGCAAAGAACGTCATAAAAAATGAGACAGACCAAGAAAAAAATGAATACAGTTAGTAGTGGATGCAGAAAAAATTAAACAGAAATCACTCAAGGAATTAAGAATAATTGCAGAAAATGGAAAAAATTAAAGAGATGGGTTAATGGAAATTAAAATAGCTAGCCCAAGTACGACACTCTGATAGGATAAAAGTAAGGAAATCATCAATCAGCCAATCGCGTCCACTGCTGGACATAGGCCTCCCTCATTTCTTTTCAGTGTTCTCTACACTGGGCCGCTTGTAGCCAGTTTCCCGCTACACGTTTTATATCAACGGTCCATCTAGTCGGTGGTCGTCCTCGGCTTTTTTTATAGTTTCTGGGCCTCCATCCCATAATACGTCTTGTTCACCGTCCATCTTGTGCTCTGGCTAAGTGCCCTGCCCAGTTCCACTTAAGCGACGTGCTTCTTTCGATGACGTCTTGAACTCCTGATCTTTGCCTGATTTGTTGGTTTGTTATGTGGTCTCGAAGGCTCACGTTCAGCATTGCACGTTCATAGCTCGTTGCGTAACTCTGAGTTTATTCGCAGATTTTTGCGTGAGTGTTAAAGTCTCCGCTCCATAAGTTTGTACAGGTAAAACACATTGGTCATAAACCTTTCGCTTGAGACACATGGGAATTGAACTTTTTAGAATATGGCTTAATTTGCCAAATGCTGCCCAAGTTAGGCCTATTCGCCTCTGTATTTCATGTGTTTGATTGTCTCTGCTTATTTTGATTTCGTGTCCCAGATATTTGTAAGTGTATGTTTGTTGTATGTTATTATTGTCAATAGTTATATTTCCACTCATTACGAGATTTGTCATAAGTTTAGTTTTCTCAAAGTTTATCTTTAATCCTGCTCTTTCAGACAGACTTTTAAGCTAATGAATCATAAAAACTGTATCTTGTAAATTATCTGCGATTAATACAATATTATCTGCAAATCTTAGGTGGTTTAATCTTTCTCCATCTATGTTGATGCCCATATCTTGCCATTGAGTGCTCTTTAATATTGACTCTAGAGCTGCCGTGAACAATTTTGGTTAAATATTGTCTCCTTGTCTAACTCCTCGACCTAAGCTGAATTTTTCTGTGTCTTCTTGTAGTCGTATATTTGACGTAGCGTTCTCGTAGATGTTTTTGATTAGTGTCTTGTACCTGTAATCTATTCGGCTTTGATTTAGGGCTTCCAGTATTGTTTCAAACTCTAAAGAATCAAAAGCCTTCTCGTAATCGACAAATGCAAGAACTAGTGGTATGTTGTACTCGATGCACTTTTCTATTAAGATCTTTATGGTATGCAAATGGTCATTTGTGCCATATCCTGCCCTAAAGCGTGCTTGTTCTTTGGGCTGATAGACATCAAGTTTAGGTGTTAGCCTCTTTGTTCAGATTTTCATAAAGAGTTTTTACATATGTGTCAAGAGGCTGATGGGTCTATAATTTTCTAATTTAGTAATATTGCCTTTTTTGTGTAATAAGACTATTACTGCATTGTTCCAGTCTTTTGGAATCGTACCCGCATGTAAGCATTTATTAAACAGTTCGCTTACTGATGGAACAGTCCATCATCACCAGGCGATCGATGGTTTTTCATTTCCTTTAAAGCTGCTCTTACTTCTGACACAGTAATGGGTAAAAGTATTTCCGATCCCTGATTTATGAGAGTCTTTATTCGTGTCGGGAAATTGTCTTGTGGTATTTGGCTGGTATAGAGGTCTTTATAACACTCTCTGGTTATTTTCAGAATGGTTTGTTTATCTGTTGTTGCCTTTCCGTCTTTATCTCTCAGCTTTTATATTTCTTTTTTACTTTGTGTGAGTTTTCTTTTCGTTATCTTTAAACATTTATTCTCTTCTACTGTTTGAGTAATTACATTAGTATTATATCTTCTTACATCTTTTCTAATTTCCGCTGAAATTCTTTTATTTAGTTTTTTATATTCTTCTTTGTTTCCCTTATCGTTCTCGCTTAGGTTTCGTCGTATTTCCATGAGGGCTTTTGTATTTTTGCTAATCTTTTCACTTTTGGTGTCATTTTTTTTTTCCAAACTTGCAAAAAGTAAGGAAAGAGAAAGAAGAAAGAGAGAAAAAAAAAACAAAAAAATTCAATAAGATAGGTTAACAACAACGTTTATTGAAATATCAATATAAAATCATCATCGGATGTTAAATACAAAACAAAAAGCAAAATCTTTCAATGGAGAAGAAAGGACTTATGATTTGTAAATACAAATTAAGACCCCCTTGCCGCTATGCATTTTCAGTTCTTCTTTACGGGAAAAAATTTTGGATAATAACCAAACTAACATTTAAATAACTAAAGACTTTTAAAATGTGGTGCTAAAGAAGAAAGTTAAGAATCTGCTGGTTGCATTATGTATCAAGCAATGAAGTTGTACAAAGATTTATTTAGGAATATTGTTTAAACTGTTTAAAAGCTCAAGTTAGAAGTCGCACAATGAGATATCCTTATCGCTATCGTGTACTTCAATCAAAAAAATTTATTAGCCCTGGAATCTTAGAAATTGGTTTTTATTATTTTTCACTGGACTATTTAAAGTAACCCCAAAAAAAGTAGAAATAACAATCTTAGAAAAACAAGAAATGAAGTGTTATTATTTATTGATTTCTTCGTTTCTTTAATTTTTGTGAAGTCTTCGTATATTCTGTATGTTTTTACATTTTTAATTTATTTTTTTTCCTTAGTGTTTTAAATTAGTCTCATTTTAATATTATTACAAACTAATATCGATGAATAAAACAAATATATGGACTACATAAACTTTTTCATTCGAGTCCCTAAGCTTTCAAAAACATTTACTGATAAAATACGTACGAATAATAAAAAATGTATATCGTGCTACTAATTAATCTCCTCGAGAAAGATTTCCGTTCAAATGGCTGTCGTGATTTAAAGCTCTTTCCTTAAACTATCCTCCAGGAATTTATCTCAGGGAACATCACAAACACCTGAAGGCACGCACAGCTCGCCATGATTTTGACCTTCTTTTGTGCCGGTTCAAAACAGACCAGACAAAAGGTGGGTCGTTGGCAGAAAATATGACCTTTTCGAGAACAGAATTGCCCTGACTATGTATGCGAAAATTACAATCCCCGACATAAAAGAAATAATAGATAGCTGGTATTTTTACAATGCTTTTCAGATTGTTCGGTAAAGGCCTTTTGACGAGTTGAAAAGGGATGTCCTTTTTTAAAAATAATGGTAATATTTGTGCTACTGTCTGTGCAAAAGTGATAAATATATAAGGTAATATATTATAAACATATATATTTGTATATTTTACAAATTTTTCGTGTTTAGTTCTAGTCTTAGTTAGGATATGTACATGTTTGTAATAATTCATATAAATGCCAATTTTCTTTATCATATTAATGTCTGAGGTTAATTAGTTTTTTGATAAATATATTATGGATTCGACAGTTACTTGTTTATTTTATCTAAGAATAAAACACTGATAATGTTTGTTTCTTTAAACTACCATAAAATTTATTACAATCAATTTTCGCTACAGTTGTATTAACAGGGTGCCTTCCTGAAGTAATTTATTTTTACTATCTTTAAATCATGTTTACTATATGTAAATATACTTCAAAAATGGTGTCGTGAGGTATTGATAAAAGATTTTCTGTAAATACAATAAATTTGTATGTGAATAGAAAAATGTACTTATTTGTAATTAAAAGACATACCTATTACATCATCATTTGCCACTTTTTAATGTCACGTTGATCAACATTAAAATTGAAATTGAGAACTTGGGACTGCACCTCTTCCCAAATGTCGCAATCTTTAAGATTTTGTATTAAAATTACGTTTGGCTCATTGTTACTGTTAATCTCCCAATATTTCTGTCTCACTTTTAGAACCGCTCTTAACCGATGAGTCAGTTTTTTCATTGCAATTTTCGTCACCATAAAATTATCCATCATCACTGAAGGGATCAGGTTCTGATTCATCTTCTAGTGGATTTATATCATCATCAATCTCGTTGAACCACTGCAATAATTTTACTTCAGTAGCAGCATCCTTTATTAAATTGATACGTGAAAATAACACAATTTTTTTATATATAAAAATAATTGCCAAAAATATATAAGTAAAACATTTAGCTCTGTCACTTATGTTATTATACCCTGTATTATGAAATAAATTACATCCACTTACCACAATTTATTAATCAATTATGCGTAACACAAATAGTAAATACAAAATGCACACCACGTTCAACCTAGACAATTTTATTTAGGCTAACACTTAAACCAGAATATATTCATATTCTCGGTCAGTGAATCTGGGGTTCCCCTATAAACGGCAGCAGTCAGCGGATGTACATAAACAAAGCGTTTAAAATGCCTGTAGAGGTCGCTGTCACACAAAGTACTCATTTACTAATGTGCCGTACCTGTCAATATGTTAAAGTAAGCTGCAAACCCAAGCTAATAAAGTTTGTAAGCCGATATTATATAAATATGTATAATCCATTCACAAGGAATCTACGTTCCTGTAGTTGGCTGTATACCATATATTAAAAATTGATTAAAAATCCTTTGTAAAAGGTATATATTAAGAACCCAAACGGGCTAAGTTAAAAACACAAAACGTTTTCGGAATCCATATTCCATCAACAGTGTCCTAGAAAACATTTAACCACTTAATTAAAAAGAACGTATGTATGGAAGTATAAAAAGATGACTGAAGTGTTTATAAATTGTATTGTATAATATTGAATAAATATAAATTGTAAATCTTTTTATACTTCCATACATTTCCTGTAGAGTTTGGTAGCGGATCTTTGGTGATCTCAGCTTTCTGCAGTCGTCCAATATATCACTATACTCCCAACAAACACCATAATTTCCTTTTTCACTTAATTTGAATATAGCTATCAACAACCTTTTCAATTTTAAAGTTAGGGTCATTTTACACACCTTCATCATTCAACTTATAACTTATCCTTTTAATTTTTCTCATGTACCTAGTGTTGCTTTATGACAGATATGGCTTTTTTAAGTTATAATTTGAGTACTATAAGACCAACATACTACAAAACCTTGCTCCAACTATCAAACTTTGTTTTTCTCATATAATAGTTCAACGAACACCTCAAGATCTTCATATCCATTATGAATAAAATTAAACCACACAACTTGGCAGTAAATCACTTAGCAGACGCCTAGTGATTTGCAAGATTTTGCAGACACAACTGGTTTATAATATGGTAAGTCGAATACCATATTGTTTTGTCTAAGCGATATCTCAGAGAGCTGGTGACATGTGAATCTATAGGGGTGTACTGTCATGTCTCACAAAATGTTGTCCTTACCCTTTGGAATAAAATGGTCATGCGACAAAAAGTTGTGGACTTTATTTTTCCTGCAATAGGAACCCCACCGGGGTTTGGGTGTTGACTAAAGGCCAATCGTCCGACCTTTGAGTTCTATTTGAGTGTATATCTGGAAATAACTTCTCTGGTCCTAGAGTGTTACTCGAAGGGCAACCGCTTCTGCTAGATTATTGATCTAGTGGCAGCTCCGAACCCATCTTAGAGTGTTGATATGAGACGTATTCGTTTAGTGTCTAAGTGTTGATTAGTCACTTACCGCTTCTTACCGGATCGAGTGTTGATAGATCCATCCACCTCTTTCCAGATCATTCCTTCTCTTCAGTGTGCGTGTGTGTATGTGTAGTTATGTGTGTGTGTGTGTGTGTGTGCGGGTGTGTGTTTGTGTAAACACATCGTATTTTCGTTTTACCTCCTATGACATTAATTGTATTTATTTTTCCCAGGTATTAAAAAGGGTGTTATACAGCTGTCAATACCGTCATCGCTAGGATTAACACTTAAATTTTTTTGTGCATGTTATCTAGAATATACTTTTATCTTGTTAATTATTTCTAATATACTTTTATTTAAATTAAACCTGTGTTTTATTGAGTCTGCTGCTCTATGAGTGCTAAGAGAAGTTAATTAAATATTAAACCACATAAAAGGTAAAACATAAACACTGAATGTTATCTCCAAATACTCAGAGATGAGTAATGAATCTCATCTCAGTATCATTATTCATTACTTCAGCTCCATCAAAGTAATATATCAATAAAGTCGTAATTCCCTTAGCAGCTGATTAATCGAAACAAACGAGCTGGATATTACAGTTCGTTTGACAAGAAAAAAGTTCTTTGGCTATAGATTGATAGAAAACTAGTTTGACTGTTCTCCCTGTTTCTCTAACGCCCTGTTCATTACTGAATGTACTTGTATCCTCTTTAATATTACTGGCGTAATATGCGGCAACACTTTGATTTACGCCCGGGAAAGCAGAGGAAAATCCCCTGCGAATTATTCGACACTGCATTTTCCAACAAAGGTGGGATTTCTGAGAGAGATTATATGTTTGATCATCAATATTTTAACCGTACCTTCTGTTTTTGTTTTTTTGCCCTTTTATCTTTTAGGTTGACACGACTTTATGGGTAAATAATATATGAGATATTTTGAGTTTTAGAAAGATACTGCGAAGATGTGCATTTATTATTTGAATGGAGTAAAATTCGGTTTATTTGTGTTTAATATTGGTGTTTATATTTTTTTATTTTATTATTATATTACGCTGTTCTATGATTGATTCTATTATTTCTATTATTAAATTAGTAGTTATCAATATTGTACTCTTATTCTATTCCTATTTTATTATTATTTATGTTATATTACACTGTTTTATGTTATAATAGTATTACTATAATAATTATTTTACATAATCCAGCAATCATATAAAATACAAACAGTAACGAAGCACTATTTTGTCAAATTATTCTGCATCTGTATTCTTATGGCATTTCACGTTTACGTCTTATGCATAACACATTGGCTACCACAAGGATCACTGGCGGCACTAACTAACAGATTACAATTGTGCCGTTAGGGTCACCGGTGTTACTTTCTGAATTATTATAACGGTCGGCACTGTAAGGACGTTTAAAGAGTTTTGTGGTCACTGGGAGTTAGTTACAAATCTCTCGAGAGGATAGGTTAAGGATTATTTTAAGTTCACTGGGAACACATCGCTTGCTTATATTCTTTTGTTAGGCGCGATAATGTCGTAAACAGCTTGTAACGATGGTTGAGAATAAGGCGTTGTAGAAACGAATAGTGGCATTTATTATCAAGTTTTTCTGCGGAATTAGAAGTTTTTTGGCGAATATATAAAGTGGGTATAAGGAGTTTATTTGTTTTAGAATCTTATTGCTCGATTATTTTTATGCGGTCTACCATCTGATATGCTGTCTACCAAAATTTCTATACGCGGGGAACGTCACCTATCATCAAATGCTGTTGAGACACTCACTAAAATTATATATTAACATATAACACCAAATAAAGTAACCAGTAAAATTCTAAACTTTTATTGGTTTCTTAAAATAAATTTATATCTTCTTAGAGTGCCGTCTCCCTATGGAGGTTGGCAATCATACTGGTTATTTTTATTTTAGAACTTGCTGCTCTAAACAAATCAATCGATCTGCATTCTTGCCTGCAAAGGTAAAATAGTTTATGTGAAAAAAGTGAGTTTTGAGATAAATGACTTTTTATTTTTTTACTGTGCCGTTTTGTTATTTATAAAGTTAGATAAATGAAATTTGGAATATAAAAAAAATATATTATTAAATAACTATTACAACAACAAATACGTTCAGTTTTCTTTAATGTGCTTGTAAAGTCGCGTATACTGTTTTACCTTATTTTAATCTGGCATATTATATTTCTTAATACTAGAGAAAAATATTATAAATAATTCATATATTTAATAAAACACCTTTATGAGTTAACATTACACCTGGTTCTCATCAGCTAACAATAAAAAACGAAAAAAAAATATTGTCATCAACTTTCGTCACATAAAAACTATTTTCAACAAGTTAAACTGAACTAAACACCTTCATTAATTAAATGTACAGATGCGTTATTTTCTGGAAGGTCGACCCAAAACTGCTTCCTGTTTACAGGCATTCTAGAGACAAGATCTGCAACAATTTTTGTTTTCTTATTCACAAGTCTTCCTCGGTCTGTTGTCATTGCACTAGGCATAATTAATTTTGCTTTTGTTTTTAACGTATTTTTTTGTAACGATGAGTCCAAGCCATCACCGTTAAACCAGCGTGCGCGCGAACCAACCCATGAAGTAGGAGTGTATCGACAGTAGAAAGGGCAAAACTTTGCTATATAAACCGCATTATTTCCTCATAGAGGCAGAATCGACAGGTGTTGACTGAAGGTTCTCTTCTTCCCTACCCCGGCTTGTGGACGTGTTGAGTTCACAAGTTGTTTCCGTCCCATACCATCTTTACCCGGAGAGCGTGTTGAGCTTTCCATTACCCGTACTCCGAAGCAGTCGTGTTGAGACTGTCGAGGAGTGTCCTATTAACCCAAATCACTTAAGGGACGTGTTGAGTTCCTTTCTTTTCTTTGTACCTATCGTCCGCTTCTTTAATAGGTACACCCAACTAACCTTCGACGTTTCCGGAGCGTCTGTCATTTTTGAACTGTGAATCACCCTGTATTTGAATAAAGTTTGAAATGCAGTACTGTCTCATGAAAATAAAATTCGGAATTCGGTCGGTATTATTGTTTAAAACGAATTTTTCTGCTCGGGCGCCATCTGTGACGTCCTCTCGTAGGAGTCACTATCCGGGTAGCTTTTGGACAGTCAGAGACAGAGTTCAAAATAAAAATAAAACTTTATTGTCTTCCTTAAATTAAATTGACAAAAATCTTATGTACATATTTACAATTTAGTTTAGTCTTCTCAGTACCTGGCCTATTTATTCAAATTAAGTTTGACCTTGTCGTATGAAATTAGTGTTATCGGCAATCGAGTGTGTTTTCGGAATTTTACGTGAACGATGTGTCGATTTAATAACAGCGGACGATAGGTACAAAGAAAAGAAAGGAACTCAACACGTCCCTTAAGTGATTCGGGTTAATAGGACACTCCTCGACAGTCTCAACACGACTGCTTCGGAGTACG